CCACCATGCCCAGCTATGTTTTGTATTTTTAGTAGAGACGGGGTTTCACCATGTCGACCAGGATGGTCTCGATCTCTTGACCTCGTGATCCACCCTCCTCGGCCTCCCAAAGTGCTGGGATTACAGGCTTGAGCCACCGCGCCCGGCTCCCGTTTCTTTTTATAAACAGTTGAAAGAGTGCCTGTTTTACGGATACTCTACTCCCTTCTAAGATTTTGACTTACTGATATTTTCTCGTCACATAATCACCTGCAATCAGCCTTTACCACCTTGCCATGACTTTGCCACCCAAAGCACGGAATGAAACCATCATGTATTGCTGATGATCAGTACTGACCCATGTGCTACCTGCTTAACCCCTAAAACTAGTCATGCCTAATTTTTATCTGCTGGCACCTATCAATTCTGGGATCAGGCATATAGGAGGTTTTGTTTTTCTTTCAGCTCCTTTTATTTCTGATTTAAATTATTGTCCCCTCCTTTTCAAAACTTCACTGTCTAATAAAAAGGACTTCATGGAATATGTGAGAGAAGAGCCTATACAGCCCTGAAATCTAGAAGATCACCTAAAAATAATAAATATCCAAAACGCTTTCACTGAATAGGTAAATACTTGTGACAAGTTTCTACCATCTTACAGTTTAAGTTGCTCTCTGTGCAACTACAGGGACAAAGTGGCATATCCTGTGCATGGCCTTATGTGCCTGGAAATAGCTAGTTGAGCTGTTTCCCATTAGAGATTTGAGCCCCCAAATGAAAAACAAACAAACAAACAAAAAAAACTGTGCTTTCTCTCTCTCCCTCTCTGTCTCTCTCTCTCTCTCTCTCTATAATTGTGCTTTATGTTCTGGGGTACATGTGCAGATCATGCAGGATTGTCGCATAGGTACATACATGGCAATGTGGTTTGCTGCCTCCATCCCCCTCACCCCGTCACCTATATCTGGCATTCTCCCTTGTTATCCCTCTCCAACCTCCCTGCCAACCCCCCTGCTGTCCCTCCCCTCCCCTTCCCTCCACAACTCCACCTAGCCCAGTGAGTGTTGTTCTCTTCCCTGTGCCCAAAACCTGTGCCTTCTACCTTGTTACAGGTCTTCCACGTACACACTCTCAGGAACAAGCAATGGCTGAAGATGTCTCTAGTTACTTGGCCTCCACATCTCTCAACACAATGGCTCCCTCCAGTGTTCAACACTTAAGCACATTATTGGCAAAAGTTTGAGTGGCATTCCAAGACCTGCACTTAGGGCTGCCACAGACTGATACCCAGTATGCTTCACTGTTTCTAATGCCATCTGTAATTTGTTTTTAAATACATTATTTAAGGATTCTATACTTCTTATGCCAACAAATATTAGAAATACTGAGTTTTCATCTTGTGTGTAGCATAGGGTGATGCAAGTATACAAACACACACACACACACACACACACACGAAAGTGAGGCTTGAGGTTTATACAGTGAAAAAGAATATATACATAATATATATATATATATATGTATATATATATATACATATATATATGTATATATATATTTTATATATATTTTCTTTCTTTTAATCTTGGCAGGAAGCACAAACAGCTAACTGAGTCCATTCTCATAGCCAAGGGATGTAATATAGAAGGGAATATGAAGTCTTTAAATGGTTTTAAACATCTTATTTTTTTGTACTTCAATTTGGTAGTAGCTGACCAATGTGGTTAAGTATCACTTTCAGTCTATAATGGGAATCAATAGCTAATTCCATGATAATATTTGCCTCTCCTTCCAAAACCTCATTTTCTACCAAACTGTGACATTCTATTACTTATTTCAAAGTGCTTACAAAGACTCTGGTTTGAAAATTATTCAAAGATTATAGGAAGAATGTTTCAGCAAAACATCAACATCACTATCAACCTTCACTCTCTTCAGCATTTTAGATTTAATAAACCTCAGTATGAAAATAGACACATGAAAGTGCCTGTCACCTCCTTATCAGAATTGCTAAACTGACTGAGAAACACATTCACACTGCAAGCTAATTAACCTGACTGCAAGTTGGCAGGTGCATTACAGGTATGCTTCCAAGGAAGCTTGAATTGTATTTAAACAAAACACTTAATTATGTTTTCCAATGGGGTCATTAACCATCAGGCAAACTCAGCAAGGACAAAAAGTTCAACTTTCTGACTTATTCAAGCCACATTAAAAAATCTTGTATTTCTTATTATCAGATCCTAGCAAATCAATGGAAGTTATTTAAGATGTTGAATATAGTCTACCAGGAATTTGATTGTCTCTTATCTGAAAAAAATATCTTTGGGTATCTGCTCTCTATAACAACTAATCTCTAGCCAAGAAATTTCCTAGAAGGATTGAAGGAGTATTACATTCAATCTCACTCAAATACATTTGGAATTCCGTCACACTTTCTTGTCTGTCTTGAAATAGGGTCTTACTCCCGTCACCCAGGCTAGGGTGCAGTGTTGTGATCACAGCTCACTGCAGCCATTACTTCCCAGGCTCAAGTGATCCTTCCACCTCAGCCTCTGGAGTAGTTGGGACCACAGGCATGCACCACCAAGCCTGGCTAATTTTTGTATATTTTGTAGAGAAGGGGTTTTGTTGTGTTGCCCAGGCTGGTCTTGAACTCCTGGGCTGTAGCAATCCACCCACCTTAGCCTCTCAAAGTGCTGGGATTACAGGTATGAACCACCGCACCCAGCTGGAACATATTTTTCTATAGCAAACATAGCTTTCACCCCATGGCCCTGACTTAGGCTAAATAAGCAATAATTAGTGTTTTTCAAAGTGCTAAAGATCAATTTAACTGGAATAAAAATTTATTCCATAACTTAGAATGAGGAAATCAAATGGAAGTAGTTGTCTGCCTTTCCTTTAAAGAAAAATAAAATGATAACAATGCCTGTTAGAACCTGAAGGAAACTTCTAGTTTCATTTAATATAATGGAGTTGTCCATTCTATTGTCAGGTTTGATGTACTTTCTCCTCATGTTTAGTTGCTTTATATATTCCTCGGTCCATTACAATCTCAGTCTATACCTAAATGTTGTGATGTATTGTGCCCTGGGTTGAAAGACTCCAAGAAATATGAACGTCTGAAGTAGTATACTGATGCTCATAACTGTTTTATTACAAAGGCTACGGGTGTTTTAACAGCAGAGATCACAAAATCAAACATTGTTAGGGTTTGTTGGGTAATAAAAATAAGTAAAGCAAGCCTAATGTAATATAACAGGAAGGGGTAAGAATTGTAATAAACTTGAGATCATAGTCCATATCTAAATGATCAGTTACAGTTTGCTCCAACTAATTGATCACATCGAAAAATGTAGACCACACATTACTAGATATCCTACTTCTCAAAATATGCCATATAAATTTCGATTTTTAAGTAAAATATCCCCCAAATTAAAATACTCTGAGTCAATCCAAAGTGATCTGAAAGTTGGATCCAGCCTGGAACTGCCAAGTTGAGATTCCACTGCCCTTTGAAAATCATCTGGTCTTCTAGAGCTCTCTGCTAGTCAAAATGAATCTTTTAGAGCTCCCTACTAGTCAATCAAAACTACAGATATTCTACTCTTGCTCTACCTGGAGTTAAGGAAAATGGAATCTCTTTCTTGACAGCGTATTTTGGAGGCCCACTGTCCGCTATTCACCATGACTCATATCTGACACTAGGAGTTACACTAGAAGTCTTGTGTCAAGGCTTCCCTCAAGGACTTCTGAGTCTTGCGTTTACTTTCCCTTGTATCAACTGTATTCAATTTTGACTATGAGAATTGGTGACCTCTCTTGACACTATGTTCCTTTTTAAGGCACTTCTTTTGCCAATTGTTCTTCCATCATTCACCCTTCACAATCTATATGCAGCAACTGCAGGCCTGATAATTTCATGAGAAGGAGACAGGATGTTTAGGGTTAATTCTTCTATCCCATCTCTTTACTGCAGAGAGGAGATAAGATACTGCCTTTATTAAACAGTTCACTCAGCTAAGTTAGAACCTGAAGCCTAAGATTCAGTATTTAAAAAAATAAAACATGTATTCTCCTGGTCAAAAGCCAGATTTCCTCTACTGATTCTTTACTAATTTGATTTGATTCAATAAACTTCCAATATTTCATTTGTAATTAATGAGCATCTGGAGGACTCTAAGTAGCTGTTGATATAGGGTCTCTGATAATATTTTGAAATAAGGAAAATGTAAACATGTAAAACTACCTGATGTAACAGTGTCTGTTTCTAGGATTCCACAAGGTTGTCACAACACTTGCCATGTTCGCTCTATTTCCTACCTTCTTTGGTCTCTGAAGCCAAGCTTACATCCCTGTAGTTGGATATTTTCAAGGGATCTCCTTGTTTTAGTAACTCACTCCCTTCTTTTTTTTTTTTTAATTATTCGTAATCTTCATTTATTTCTGTGAACCCACAGCTGAAATAATGAGGTTTTCATCAACAGCTTTAACCCCATGTAATGCACAATGATTGAACCATCATATTCATCTCTGCCATATAAGATTAAGACTAAAGTTGACGCTGAATTTTGTGAAAAACTTATTTTGTGAAATAAACAGACCAAGGCTTTAACATATATTTTCTCTAAACTTTATATGTGCACTATAATGACAGTATTATTATTTCTATTTGAGAGTGAAGACACCATAAGTCATAAAGATTAGATATCTGTGGAATAAACAATTTATCTCCTCACTAAATTGACCTTTTCTTTCCAGGTACCCAGGTAACTATATTCCCAGATCCCTGCATTTTGGAGTGGCAATACAACTGAGGTAAGGGCAACAGAATGTGACTAAAAGTGACGTTGCTACTGTCAACAATCCACCTTGGACGTGCCTTTTGTAGCACATATCAATTTGCCCATTCTTATTCCTACTCCTGTACAGTATATATCCGACACCCTGTTTCTTCTGCTGGGTTTCCATCAGAAACCCAGAAGATTGGATACTTATAAGCATATGTAATTTGTAGACATCGAGTTTAATTATTTTTTATTCTGTAGTAAATGTAAAACTTCAAAAATCCTTGTAGACTCTCTTAGAATTATAGATAGAATTGAATTTCTCCAGCTATATTTAAATGTGAAATTATTTCTATTTTGCTTTAAATAATTGTTTTAGATTAAAACAATTGTTTTAATTTATCTTGTTTATTTGTTTGTTTGGTTTTGGCTTTTATGATTTTTAGTTTTGTGGGTATATAGTAAGTGTATATATTGACGGGGTACATGAGATACTTTGATGCAAGCATGCAATGAATAATGATTACATCATGGTAAATAAGCTATTAGCCCCTCAAGCATTAATCCTTTGTGTTACAAACAGCCCAATTATACTCTTTATTTTTAAATGTACAATTAAATTATTATTGACTATAGTTATCTTGTCTCCTAACAAATACTAGGTTTTCTTCATTCTTTCTAACTACATTTTGGACCCATTCGCCATCCTTACTCTCCCACCTCCACCCCACCACCTTTCCCAGGAATTTTATTTTTTTTTAGCAAATGTAGTTCATTGGCTAATCAGCATCTTCTGTGTATATTTTGTGTTTTATATTTGTTTTACATTTTAATTTTTATTTATTTATTTTTTGAGATGGAGTCTCGCTCTGCTGTCCAGGCTGGAGTGCAGTGGTACCCTCTTGGCTCACTGCAATCTCTGCCTCCTGGGTTCAAGTGATTTTCCTGCCTCAGCCTCCTGAGTATCTGGGATTATAGGCACCTGCCACCACACCTGGCTAATTTTTGCATTCTTAGTAGAGACGAGGTTTCATCACATTGGTCATGCTGGTCTTGAACTCCTGATCTTGGGTGATTCACCCACCTTGGCCTCCAAAAGTGCTGGGATTACAGGCTTGAACCACTGTGTACCTGGCCTTCCATGTATATTTTAGCAGGTGTATCTTACATAGCTCAAGCCAATCACATCCTTATGCATAATAAAGGACTTCTATAAATAATAGGGCCATCCATTTCATTTGATTTCAGAATATTGCACCATTTTCTGTATGAAGTGAACATAAAAAATAATAATGCATTATAGTAACTGTAAGTGTTCCTCATAGATTTCAAAGTCAGTTCTGAATATGTTAATTAAAAAGTCAGGCTCAATGAATTTTTAGTTTATTTGCCTTTGTCTGAAGTGCTACAATTGGGAGTAGATTTTTCTAGAAATTGATTTTAGCGTGTAAATAAGACATGTTAGTGTAACTGATTTAACATGCCATGCAAAATAATGAAATTGACATATACAGGTCTAGAAATGGATTTTAAAATATAACTTGACAAAGAAATATATTGGTATTTTTAAGTGAATATTTCACTGTACTTTTGGTGCTTTTTCATTATCCTGCTGGTGTTCCCCTCCAACAGGTATGAATGTTACAACAGATTTTTCCCCCCATTTTATCAAATTAATTTTTTTTATACTGAAGTAAGTTTATAAGCTTTTCACTTTTAAAATATCATTTAAAGGTTTTCAGATTATGAAATAAAGTTCCCAGAAGTTTATTGGAAAGATTAATAAAGAAATTTATAATTGGGGTATGTGACTACAAGCCTTTTATGCTTCCAACCTCAGGTACTTTCAAAATGATAGTTGAATTCTGGAAATATTTAGACATCTGAGCAATTTAAGAAAATTTTCACTTAAAACTTTTATAAATTTCTGCATCAATGACTACATAAAATCACCTAGATATGCTTGTCTTATTGTTATATCAAAACCTCAAAACAGACTAGAAAATTCAAAGATCACTAGGTTACTATATAGAGACAGTCCATCCTAACACTCTACAACTTTGCTGTTATGTTCACTTCACTGCTATAAAAGGGCATGCTATTGCAAAGAACACTAGGCTTGTTTCTCTGGAGTAAACTTTCCAAGGCATACTTCAACATTTTTTTAATGAAACTAGAACTAATGTAGAAATCTCCCTTTCATAGTAATATTAGACCATTGTGGTTTCCAAACCATGATTCTAGTTTGGTTCTGAGCATTTATAACTCTAATTTAAGCAATATAGGTAAATAGGGAAAGTTTATTGTTATCTAAATTATAACATTGCCACAGAAAATTTATGGTTCAGTCATTTATTTCAGTGGGATGACTGAAATCTGAGAGCCATAGGTCTGACAGCCTCTCAGTAGTAGTCTTCCAATTGCTATTTTGTAAGAATGTATTGAGACTATAAACAAAGGATATTTTCATGGAAATCTTAATACCGATCTCCAGACATTTATCTGAAGGTTCTTTTTGAGATCCGTAGCTTCTCTCATACTGGTTGTGTAAGAAATCATACAAGGTGAAAACTGTGTTTGATACGAGAAAAAATGTTATGAATAGAGGTAGCAGTGATTTAGAGAGAATTCTGCTTTAGCTACTGTGGTGGACTAGGCATCTTTTGGCACTACATCTAGGATTTGGAACTATAGCTTCTAAAACTGGGTTGAGGAAAGAAACTTCAGTTACTGTAAATAAAGTCTATATATAGGACTGAAGAGTTCATGAAAGGGGAAGGTTTCTTGATGAAGCAAATGACACTAATGATTGAGGCAGGAGATAACCAAACGCCTAGGCAGATGGGAAAGGGTCCCAGAGAATCTCTGCCCAGCCCCACAAATGTGCTATTTTTATAAGAATGTCTATCAGCACTAGAAAATGTAATCTTGGATTAGGAACGGGGAAGAGAGATAATCAAATGGTGCTACGGTCTGGATGTTTTTGTCCTCTCCCAAATTCATATGTCCAAACCTAATTATCAATGTGCTGGTTTTAGAAGGTAGAGTTTGTGAAAGTTACTTAGGTTATAAATGGGATTAGTGCTCTTATAAAAGAAGCCCCAGAGAGTTGTCTTGCTCTTTCCTCATATGAAGAAGCAGTGAGAAGACACTTCGTATGAACCAGGAAGTGTGCCCTCACTAGACACAGAATCTGCTAGTGACATGGTCTTGAACTTCTCAGCCAAGAGAATTGTGAGAAATGCATTTCTGTTTTTATGAGCAATCTGGTCTATGATATTTTGTTATAATGGCTCAAACAGACTAAGACAAATGGGTTGGCTAGAAAAGACTGAAAAGTTTTAAATTGAATCAACTTCTTTTAAGATAGTAACCTTATCAAAGTTATGTAAATATTATCAATCTCAGTTATCTCAGGGTGAAAAAAAAAAGAACTATGTCACACATTGTAGTAGTAGAAACTGTAAATATACTAAATTATAGAAGAAGAATGTTTTAAGTTATTGAACTTCTTATTACTCGTTATTCAAATATTTAAGCCAAACAACACTTCCAGTTCTATTTCTTTTCTCATTCAGGGCATTTCATTTATAGCATCCTACAACTTTAGGAAAGAAGAAAATCCTCTGAGGCAATCAGATAAAGAAGATAATATATTACTAAGTTATGTATTTTAACATTGTTTGCTTGAGGCTTTGGAGTTAAAAAGATTCTTTGCATTGTAGATTTGATTTACTTTACCTCATGGAAATTTCTTTGAGTTTTTAAGTACTATATAAAAATTAGTTGTATGAAAATTTATTGCAAAATTATCTGAATGTGTCACAAATAAATATCTGTATATATCTCTTTAGCTTTGGATTTTTTCTAAGCAAAATTTATTTTTGAAATATCTAATTATGAGTTATAAAGGGAAATACCTTTATTCATTGAATAATCAGATAAATGTTACCATACTCAATATAGATATTTTTGTTAGGCTGTGATTGATTTTGAACATATTAAAGAAGAATATTACTCTGGGCTGATAATTTACAACCCAAATTCTGAAAATTGAAGTATTTAATTTTTTTAAACTTTAGAAGTACAATTCTGAAATTGTTGTATGTATCAATTTTTCCATAATGTAAAAGAAAAGCATTTCAGAAAACTCATATTATGATGGTTTTGTAGATAATTTGCTTTCTTTTTGTCATATCCATATTATCAAAATGTAAACCTCAGGCACTCACTTCAGTAAATGACAATGTGCTGTCCCTCAGAGAAACTGAATAATAGCTTTACAAACCAGAACCTTACTATATTAGTCAAAAATCAATGCACATTGCAGAGAGGAATAAGGGAGACCTCATGAACCATATATCACAAATTTCCACAGTGGGAACCGTAGCGACATTGGAAGATATTGTGTTCAGAACCCTTAATGAGAGTTGGCCTCATTTTTATGGCTAGCTGCAAAGTCTGTTACACTTAATGGTGATTTGCTCTAAACAATGATCTACAAATGAATGCCAGATATGCTAATAAATTTCTGTATTAAAAGACTACTGACAATTGGTTCAGAAAGGAGTTTTTTTCCTCCTTCCTAGGAAGTACTGACATGGTAATATTAACACTTGAAAGTGTCAACTGCTTAATGAAATTTTGCCCTTATAGATTACCAAGCTTTCTTAAATGTTAGAAGTTATTTTTAGGAGATAATTTACTGCAATTAGGGTTATTTATATTGATATATACATTTATTTGAGTTTTAAAAATATGTTACCATGTAGAAGTGGCATTGTGTATGACTATGATGGCAATCAATATTTGGATATACTAATTTATAAACATTAACTACCTTTGTTCAAACTAAAATATAATTAAATAAGGGTTATGTGATGGAATTATTTGGTTTTAAATATTAAATAAAGTGTGAATAAAAATTTTCCATTATCTTTTGAACTATTTGTAACATAACAATCCTAATAGGCTTCCCAAAGAACTTTGTGTTAAAATACAAACCTAATGGGCTCATCGAAAGCCACAAATAAAGGAGCTGTCAAGTAAAGTTGATGAAAAAGAGAAATGATACAAAAGGCAGCCTCAGGTACAATTATGAAAATGTCAATATAAAAAATTATTTCCCTTGATGTGATATTATTAGAGTGTGATACTAATTACTAAAACTAGGATTATAAAGATTTATTGACCTCTAGCATGGTTTGCCAAGAAGTTTGTTACAAATTATGGTGTACTCCTTGTAGAAAAATGTATTTGGTGATAGATTTTTGAGGATTTTCTAATTTTTTCATGTTGAAAGATGATGCCGATTTAGAAAATCATCTCTGAATGTATTTCTCTTTTTCTCCATATAGCTTGTAATATCTCTGAAAATATATTAAGCATGGAGAGCCTTATATTGAGAGTATCATACACAGCTAACTTGCTTAGAGATGCATATTGTGTTGTTTTGGTTTAAATGTCACCAAACTATTGATATGTAGTCATTATGTGGGTAGGCACCATTCTATTCTAGATCTCAACACAGGGCTTGTTACTGTAATTGCTTGTAATTTATCATAATTGCTCAATAAATTGCTCTTATTTGCTTTAATGGAGTCTTTAGATAAAACCAAGAAGAACAAAACATATATTTATCATTTCTATGTGGTAAGTGAGATCATTTTAACAATACATTTATGATATGGTGATATTTTACATTTTCATAATTTTGTTTTAACTCAACACTTATGAAGCTATTCACATATTTATTTCAGGATAGTTTTGCTTTTTGAGAGTAATTGGTAGAAGTTTTCTAGAGGTCCTCAAGCATACATATACATCTCCGAAATAATGATAATAATTTTATGTTTTATGATACTGTTATTGTATTACTGTGTGCTATAATTCATATTTTAAAGGTATTATTTTCATTAACACGTAAATGTTAATTCAGTCATCCCATTTAAGAATAAATGTTCTTAAGAAAAAGTTTCTATTATCTATATTATTTGTATCATCTCTAATTAACTAATACAGTCTTTATAGGGATATGATTTCTTACTTGATTGATAATCTTGTCAAAATACTGATAAATATTCTGGTCTTCACTGTATGATACTTTTATATATACTCTATGTTAATTACTATTTTATGTATGGGAAAAACAAAATGACTAAAAAAGAAAAGTCCCCTTGTTGCATGAAGAGGCAATAAATAAAATTTAAAATACATAAGTTAGTAATATTAGTGAAGTTTCTATGATAAAACAAAAATAGGGAGAGTAGAAAAATAAAAGTTGATGAGGTTAAAATTAAGATTTTAGTCAAGTTTATCTGAAATTTGGGGTTGGCATGAAAAGAATGAAATAATTCCAAATTTTCATTGATATTGTTCTGTATTAAAAAAAATTTTTTTTGTAAAGTGAAAATTTATATGTTCAGATAATATTTTGTCTTAAAATATTTGATACTTTCATTTCTAATACAGTGACTAGGGAAGTCTTTCCAAAACTTCTGTTGAAATAGATAAGCAAAGCTGAATAAAATATTTTAAAATAACCTCAAAATTATCAAAGAGCTAAAATAATAATGGAGAACTTACAGAATAGCCTGAACCCAAAGATGTGACTAAGGAAAGTATTTCCATGGTATTGAGCAAAGAAGGAAAAATAAAAGAAGTTTAAAGAAAAGAAAATTGTCCTGCAGAAACTGTGACCAATACCGTGATTAACTTAAGCAATGAAATTAGTAACAAACTGGTTGTATCGTCAATCCCTGGCAGAAGTAAATAAGAGTATTCTCAGGAGGAAAGAACTTTTATCCTAGACATCAAAAACCTCCATATGTAATTTTCAGTCCAAAATAAAAAGACATACAATTAAAGAAATCACCAAGAGTTATAACCAGCAGATAAAAGCAGAGAGTAGAAAAATAATTGCTTATATTTTATATATTTTAATTATTCATGCTTACCTTGTTAAAAGAAAAAAAAGTTTAATATTTGTAAGAACCAGAAAATTATGAAAAGTGCCATAAAAGACTTAAAGTGAAAATTTAGAAACTATAAATTTAAATTTCACAACAACAACAACAACAACAAAAATCTCATTGAAAATATCTGGCAGTAGATTTAGTAGAGCAGAAAAAAAGAATGAGTTGGCTTATGCTGCTAAGCAGAATGTATTACCTCATTTTAGACCAATGTACTCATGACATGGGTTGATGCAATTAATATGTGACCCTCTTATGCCTAACAAAGTAAACAGTGAATCTCTTTTGTTAGAAGATACATTATCTGAACTCTCTATGGTTTTTAAATATTGCCTAGAAACAAACAAGAATTACTAGGATTTCATTTTGTAGAATGCATTCTTATTTCAGTCTAGTACAAATTATTACTTTACTTTGCCATTGCTAGTATCTTGATTCTACCAGAATCTTGAAATACAATAAGGGATTAGAATGACAAATCAAATTCACACAAATAAAAGATATTACCACAAATCATGATTTACTAATAACTTAAAGAATAAAAGTAGTTGGGGTCACAATAGCAGCAGGAAGAGCCCCAGGACCACCAACACAGTTCTCCAGCTACTTTCTTGCCTACATCCACTTTCTTGCATGTGATCTGGCCCAGATTAAATATTAAGATCTCCAAGTACGTTTGTGGTCACATAACTTATACCAAAAGGAGATTATTCTCCCTTATGAAATGTCTCCATTTTACACAGATACTGTATTAGTCCATTCTTACATGGCTATAAAGAAATGCCTGATACTGGGTAATTTATAAAGGAAAGGGGTGTGATTGTTCATGGTTCTTCAGGCTGCACAGCAAGCTGGCTGAGGAGGCATCAGGTAACATCAGGCAATGTGAAAGTGAAGGGGAAGCAGGCACATTTTACATGGCTGGAGCAGGAGGAAGAGTGGCCAGGTGCTGCAACCAGATATGATAACTCACTCACTCACTATCACTGGAACAGCACCAAAGGGATGGCTCTAAACCATTGATGAAGGATCCACCTCCATGATTCAATCAGTTCCTACTAGGCTCCACCTACAACACAGGGCATTACAATTTGACATAAGATTTGGGTGGGGACACAGATCCAAGCTATATCATTCCACCCCCATCCCCTCCCAAACCTCATTTTGGAGAGTGCATTCTTATTTCACTCTAGTACAAATTATTACTTTACTTTGCCACTGCTAGTATCTTGATTCTACCAGAATCTTGAAATACAATAAAGGATTAGAATGACAAATCAAGATTTACTGATAATTTAAAGAATAAAGTAGTTTGAGTCACAATAGAAGCAGGTGACCAAGCCCTATTTCTGGTAAGAGACAGTCCAAGTCATATTTAAAATGGATGCTGCTATTGTGTGTATGTCTGTGATTCACAAGATATATACTAGAATGTTAACAGCAGCATTATTAATAATATGAAAACATTTGAACCTACTAAAATGTTCACCAATACTAGAGCACATAAGTAATATTCTCATTATGGAATACTCAACAGAAGTGAGAACGAATAATCAACAACTGCACCTGGCAATATAGATGAATCTCATATGAGTTATGAATGAAATAAGTCAGATAGAATAGAAAACAACTGTGTAATTATATTTATACAAATTAAAAAACTAAAATATGCTAGTAGAAGTCTTGCTAGTGGTTATACTTGAGAAGGACATTGTGACTGGATGAGAGTGTGAACAGATTTCTGCTAATATTTCTCTTGATCTGAATGATTGTGATATGTTTCTATTTGGTTTATAAATATTTATCCATATATTTATGATATACATATTATTTTATTTGTATATTTGTAAGTAAAAGATATATGGGGAAATGTAATTATTAGGCTGGTATATAGAACACAAAATATTATCTAGAGTGCATCACTGAGAAAAAGATACAAATTTCATATGTCAGATCAAAGAAACTGGGTAGAAAGTGAGGTGTTTCAATATTTGTTTAATTAGTCTTCCCTGCAGAGAGCAAAAGAATGAGAAAGAAGCAATATATAAAGACATATTGGCTGAGAATTTTCAGATACCTATTTTCACATTCAGAAAGTTCAGAAAATCTCATGCATGACCTATGAAAGATAATCACAAGTATATAATAGCGAAACTTCAATAATTCAAAACAAAAAGATGCATGGAAACTAACAGAGTGTATGAATTTCCAACTAGTATGTGAATAAAATGGAAAAATAATTTATTAATCCAAATTAAGTCAAGAAGAAGAAAGTATATGAAACAGGCAGCATAAATAGAAGGAATAAAGGATGATAGAATACTATTTCCAGATATATCAGTGATTATGTTGAATAAATATGTATTTAAAATTTCTGATCAAAGTCAAGGACTATTGAACAGGTGGACAAGACACTACATTTTGCTTACCATAAACAAACGTAAACTATAAGTAGAAAAGTTCTTATGTAAAAGTGTCACGCTAGCATAGAAGTATTAACCAAAGAAAAGTTGACAGAAGTACGCTTCAGAGCAAATGAATCACCAGATAAAGAGTAGCTTCATGATGCTAAAATGTTTAAATCACCAGGAATATATAATATTTTAAAATTTACATGCATATAAAAAAAGCAAAAATTGACAGAACTACAGAAAAAAATAGGAAAATTCACAAATTAGTCTATTTAATATCCCTTGCCCAACAACTAATAGAATAAGTTGACATATAATATATATCATTACATAATTAATTAGAATATATAAGATTTAAACAATTTATAAACTGGAACTAAGAAACTGCACTTACATTACTGCCAAGAACCCATAAAAGTTACAAAAATAATAATAAATTTGTGTAAATCAAATCTCAACAAGTTTCAAATAAATTAAATTATTTTGATTATGTTATTTGCTCAAGATGCAACCAAGCTGGAAATCAATATAAGATAGATGAATAGAAAATCTTATATTTTTGCAGGTTAAACAATGTATTTCTAAATTAGTCAGTAAATTAACTAAAAAAGAAGTCATAAAATTCTTTAGAAAATATACTGTCTAAAATGTGATGAGATATAATCAATGCATTTTTAGAGTGAAATTTTCTATAAATAAAACTGTATATATGAAACACAAATCAGGTTAATCTTTCCTAAAGTAAATAAAGTGTAAAAGCAAACTAAAGCAAGAAAAAAACAAAACACCTGAATTATCCTATCAACACTATGAACATAGGAAAAAAAATGGTAAAAATCTTTTCTTACAACTGCAGACCCCTAGTGACAACACTGGAAAGTTCAGTGAACATTTAGGAAAAAATATAGTTGCAAAT